ATCAAATTCTTACTGAAACATCAACCATTTAACTTATTAAAGAAAAATAAACAGTAAAATTATTTAATCTAAATAAACAATAAAATTATTTAAATAATATCAAGTAAATGTAAATAAACTTAGAAACATTTCATAATCAAAGTGTATTTTTAATGATGTGCATGCAACCAACCTTACACCGAAGCATATGAATTTCAAATAACTTTTAAATAACAGTGTTTCTTACCCCATATTTTTTATTTATTAACAGCGTTCTATGTTTTGAATTTTATTTTATACACAACACTGATAAATAAAACATTTATTGAGTAGATAATAATTAAGGCAAAACTCTTGGTATAAAGGTTATTCTAGTTTAAAAAATAAAAGTAGTTGAACGTTAGTACAATTATATCTAATCAAATCTTCTAGTAAAAGCAAAAAAAATTACTTTTAATTCACCCCACGTAATGTTTTCAGTTCATATCGACTAAGCTAAATTTTAATTAAAATTTTAAGTTAAATTTGTAGGATTTGTAGGACTTAATTTAAGTGATAAAACATTGTGTAATCCTATTAGTTTCTTAATAATTCATGGCGTCCTAGTCATTTAACGATAAGCACGTATTTACTAGGAAGATAGATGCTTCCTACTTTAATAATCCAATTTTAAAAATCTACCTTTTTATTTTTGAAAAAATTATTTTAAAGAATATAAAGAAATGCATGTTTTAGTTGAAATAATTTTATTAACTATGTCTTTTCAAAAAATGAACCTTTACAGTATTTCAAAGTTAACAGCAAAAAATAAATTAGATCGATTAACAAAAGGAAAGAATAGAAAATGTTTTTTCCTTCAATGAAAACACAGCAACTCATTACCATTCGAAACAATGATTTCAGAAGTTGTTCAGTCATATTTTTATTAAAAATATAAAAATCTTGAGATACTATCGCATACTTTTTGCTGATGCCGATTTTTGTGATCAAATCATGTACAACGTTGTGATTATGAATGAAAATGTCAATTATTTACAGGATTGAATGACTTTTTAACAGGTATGCTATAATACCTCACAATTAAATCTATCAGTTATAGTCTAAGTCCTCACAATTAAGGAAAATAAGTTTCATAATACATTTCTTATTCGAGAAACAAACAACTAAAAAAATAATAAAAGTGAAAATTGTAAATAAATAATACAAAAATAACAGTCTGATTATTAACGGTGGCGCTTTTTCAAACTCAGGTTTTGCTTTCTAGGCTAACTCAAAAATGATGTAAATACAGCAAATTATTATATGCTATTATTTTTAAATTAAACTCTAATATTGGTCAACAAAAAATAGTCCCACGCTGTTCTAAAAAGTAATACATGCATATATAAACTTTTTTCGACCAAACAAACGTTTTAAACTTAAAAATTTATTTATTGATCTTGAAAACAAAACCCAAGCACGTTTTTAATCAATTACTTTTAAAGTAGGAACAATGTTTTGAATATCAGCTTATAGTTTGTTTATTAAATGATATGAATAGGTACATTCAAAATTTATTTTCACAAAAAGCTTTTTATATTGTAGTTTTTCTTATTGTACATTTAAACAAGTTATTTATCAGTCTTCTAATTGTAAGGTCTGATATCTACGTTGTGAACGTTCAACTCTAAGATTTCTAAATAACAACCCGTTTTGCTACTGTATTAAAAAATAAGTGCCAGAAACTACTGACCACCTCAGAGCATAACAACTCCAAGAAACACGGGGTATTTTTTGGTTAATACTGTCAAATAATTTTTTTAAACCCTAAAACTCATTTAATTTAGAATAAACACTAAAAATTTTTCTTTTGTAGTATAAAATTAAGTCTCTTAAGCCAATAAAAAACAATATATGTCTATAAAAATAACTTTAATTTGATCCCTTTATCATTAAAGTAATTCGCAACCTAAACTTTACTTTTCATTGAAGAAGTTTTAATGTGAATAAATAATTTTATTTTGTGATCTAAAATTAATAGTATGGTATGTAATTGAAAAAGAATCCCATAACACTTACAATTAGAAATATTAACGAAGAGTATCTTTCAAATATGTAAAAATAATGTTGACTTCTTCCTGCAATACAAAACTGATAGTATACCCTCAGTTTGGCGAAAAATAATTTCTGGGAAGTTGTAAAGCTTTTTATTTAAAATAAAAACAGTATAAACGTTATACTCTGACGTGTTAGCTTTTCTGGCTATATTCTTTTTCTTATATATGTCACTTATATTCGAAAACGAATACTGATATTGCAACAGTGTTTCTACCCATTGACACAATAAATCGACGGGGATGTTTTCCAAGTGGGCGCCCTTTCAAAATCGTTCGCGATACCATCGTCCGCGGGGCTTCCTGAGTATACGAGGCGACTTCGGCGAGGCAGGCATGCGACGCGGTCGTTTGTTCGTTCGTCGCGGTGACAAACTGCTCTGTCTCTCACGTTTTAACGTGGTCGTCGCGCCTCCTTCAAGTTTTTCAACGCGTACAATCGGTTGCAATTGTTTATCGGCTGTTATTGTGTCGCTGTTCGATAGACGCGCATTTAAAACTTTTTCGGCACTTTCCCACTTGTCCAAATCGACGTTAACACCACCACCGTCCGTTATCTTTTCCCCAACACTAACCACGACCAATTCAGCGCAAAAGTCACTCGACGACTTACGTTGTTCTCGACACTTGGCGTCCAAACGTTTCGGTTCCGATAAAGGCCCGTTTGTCATCGTCATGGTAGTAATTGTACCCTGCTTGTCTCCATTCTGTTGTTCGTTATTATTTACATTAGCGCCACTACTACTACTATTACTATTAATCATACACTGTTCGTCGAATTTACAGTTCGAATTCACTGCAGTCTTGTGATTGTTTAGACCGTTCGTTTCATCGTCTTCAGCGTCCTCAGAGTCCTGATTAACGCCAGGCGAATCGATCATGCTCTCTTGTTCCGACAGATCGTTGTCTTCCTTGTCCTCCTTCTTCAAATACACTCGTCTGTTCTTGTTAGGCCAACCGGTTCGATTTTTCTTTTTTTTCCTGCCACATCTACGACCTGGAGACACTTTGGCCGGCCAATTATCTATTTCGACGATTTTCTGTTGATTCTGTTTCTGTATGTGGTTGGCATAGTCTTCTAATAAATCCAAGGCTCCCATTTCATGCTTTAACTTTACCTCTTCATTATAATTTTCTTCCCTCAATAAATTAACATTAACTGGAGTCTCTTCTAAGGAGGCAGACAACACTTCGTCGATGCTTTTCGCTATCGATTCGTAGTCTTGTTCTAGTTCAATTTCGTTTAACGTTTTTGTTATTTTCCTTTCTTCTGGTATGCTAGATAAAGTTGTTATACTACTGCTGTTATCAGGACTTCTCGAATTTTTACCCTCTCGTCTTTTTCTCTGATGTATTAGACTACTTAAAATGGCTAAGGTGGAGGCGTGTTGTCTCGGTGACTTCCTCGGATTACGACTGGGAAGTAAAATTCCTTTTCTTCGACGACCAGGTTTCCTAAAATTATTGTTTTTAATTTCAGTCGTATGTTCCACTTTTATTTCACGGTCACTTTGCACGAAAGTTTCTTTAGAAATATTTTCTACTTGAGCCGGTTCAGGTTTAACAGGAGATGCGGCAGTAGATCCACCACCTTGAGACGTAGATTCAGGTGGGATAAAGTGGTTTTCTTTGAGCGTAGTCGATTCTTCTGCCTGCTTTTGAGATTGTCTGTAAGCCATTATACATATTCGAGGATCCACTGGTGGTAATGGGCCTATTTCATATGGAAGAATGAACGGTTTCCAATACCCTACAAACCGTTTAATTGCAATAAATAATAATCACACTTAGTAATATGTTATTTAAATACCTGAATCGCTAAAATTGCAGTAATAATACTCTTCTCCGTTGTCTTGCCTCTGGAATGTCTGATACCAGGGTTCACTTTTTGGTACTGTTTCGAATGAAAACTGTATATCATTTAAATCGACTTTCGCTTCCTTAAATTCCTCTTTCTGCTCCGATTTACTACCTCTATCATTCACTAAACACTCCCCATTATTTTTGGCACCAATTGGTGACAAATAAGATCCTTGATACCTTAATCTAAAAAAAATTGTAATATACTACTTGTTTTTCTCTTCTAGAATACAATTATTATTAATTTAGCAGTTTACCTAGACCCTGGCATTTCAAATTTGTAATATTTTTGATTATCAGCTATAAAAGCCTCTGCCTGCGTCCTCCTTTTCTTTTTTCGGCCAACAGAATGCTCAGAACAGCTACTATCCATAGAATGTTCCTCTTCGTTTTTAATTCTACTAATTTTGGTATCAGATTCACTGGAAAGAAGAACCGAACTTTCATCTTTCCTTGGACTTTGCGTTGAATGTGGAGCATCGTCGTCAACGTCCTCTTCTGAGCTAGATTCATCTCTTCTGGGAAACAGAAAGTTTTCTGCTTCGTCATTTAAACGGGCGAGTTCAGAATACCTCATTTTCCGAAATTTCACTATTAAACCTAGTTAAAAAAAAAAAAGTAACATTATACGATAACTGCAAAGTAGTTGGTTTACCTTTATCTTCCTGGCCCTCCTCGCTATTCGGTTGGATTTTGGGCGCTTCAGGGCCCCTTAGAGGAACTGCACTTGAACGCAACTTATTTGATAAAACTTCAACCCTGTAATAAGTTTTGTTATCAAAGACAAGCCTTTCATCAGCTGAAACCCTTTTCTGTTTAATACAGGATCTCTTTGGTCTTCCAGAACTCCAAGTGTCGCTATCTTCCATCGAATTGCCCTTTGGCTACAAAAACCAACTATTAATAAAATCAAATAAAAATTTCTAGAAAGCAATACTAACCGTCATCGCAGATAATCTTGTACTTGATCTTAATTCTCGTACAGGTTTTATGACGACTTCCTCTTCGCATCCCGAACTGATACTATTATATACAGAATTTTTCCTTCTTGTCCTTAAATTGTGCCTTGAATCATTTCCGGTAGGTGAAATGAGAGGTTTTTGTTTATCACAGACTATACTAGTTCTAGTCCTGGGCATTTTTTTAAGAGATACAGTGGTTTTTATTGGCGAAGCACACTTGTTTCTATCTGGATATTTTCCTAATGAAGAAATGTTCAACATTAACGACAGAATAGTACAGTAAAAAAAATTTTTGTTTGCTCACCCAAACTAGCACCATTAACTTTCAAAAAAGAGCTAATGTTGCACCCGTCGTTAATAAGGTCGTCGAGCTCCTTAAAGTTGCCCGAGTCGTTGATAAAGTTTTGATGTTCGTCACTTTTAAGATGCTCTTCCAGGTAAGCGTACTCGACCCGACAGGCCTCACAATAGCCCGGTTGAAGCAAATTTATGGTCTTGGCGTTTTGGGCACGCGTCTTACGGGTCATGGTGTGCTCCCGGAGAGAGCGACATATGAACGCGGGCTCCCCTTTTGCGCCGTTTAAGTTGAAACTGGGCCAGTTCGGGATCTCCTGAAACACCGGACGCGTTTTCCTAAAAATAACACAAAATTTAAACAATATAACACTAAAAAAGACTTTATTATTCATAAATACAACTGAAAACGTTGTATAAAAAGACATGATTTCAAACTGAAATAATTATAAAAAAAAAAAAAAAATTATTGCTTTTCTTTCTTT